TCCAAAAATATTGGGAGGTTGTGTAAAATGTAAATAAAAATAGAATGGTTTACAAATCATATAAAGACATATTTCACTGGAAACAGAATAAAGACAGCATGTCAAATGTTGAAACTGAGAAACTTTGTTTTATGACAAATTAAGGCTCAATTTGAATTTGATGCCAGCATCACATTTCAGAAAAGTTGGGACAGGGGCATGTTTACCACTGTGTCGCATCAGCTCTTCCTCTAACAACATTCTGTAAATGTTTGGGAACTGAGGAAACAAGATGCTGGTGTTTTGAAAGTGAAATGATGTCCCATTCTTGCCTGATATAGGATCTTGGCTGCTCAAGTTTTGGGTATCCTTTGTTGTATTTTTCATTTATTGATGTGCTGAATGTTTACAATGGGTGAAAGGTCTGGCCTGCCGGCAAGAGAGTCTAGCATCTGGACTATTCTATTACCGAGCTATGCTGATGTAATATGCACAGAAGGCAGTTTGCCATTGTCTTGCTGAAATATACAAGGCCTTCTCTGAAAATGACATTGTCCTGATGGCAGCACTTGTTGCTCCAAAACCTGTATTCAGCAAATGCTGCCTTCCCATTGGTGCAGGCTATCCAAGCCATGGGCACTAATGCACCCCCCCCATACCATCACGGATGCCGGCTTTTGAACTCTCCGCTGATAACACGCTGGATGGTACCTCTCATCTTTAGCCCGGAGGGCACAACGTACATTATTTCCAAAAAGAATTTGAAATTCTGATTTGTCAGACCACAGGACAGTTTTCCATTTCGCCTCAGTCCATCTTAAATCAGCTCAGGCCAGGGGAGTTTCTAGGTATTGAAAAGATCAGGGGTTAACTCAAGTTTAACTGTGGCTTAACTTTTTTCTTTTTTTTTTGAAAAAAAAAAAAGATTTGCTTTGGGGGTAAAATACTCGGAGCTAGGCTTAAAATACTCCAGGCTAGGCTTAAAATACTCCAGGCTAGGCTTAAAATACTTGGGGCTATAGCCTAACGATGCCTATGGCTCCAGCCCGCAGAAGTCAGCAGCCTTTCTGCACCATGTATAGATATGGTTTCCTCTTGGCATGGTAGAGTTTCATCCTACATGATGCAGCATGCAGCAATGAACTGTGTTCACTGACAATGGGTTTCGGATGTGTTCCTGAGCTCATGCAATGATTTCCAGTATAGAATACTGTCTGTTTTTAATGCAGTGCCACCTGAGAACCTGGAGATCACAGCTATCTAATTTTGGTTTTAGGCCGAACCCCGGACAAGCGGCAGATGATGGATGGATGGATGGATGGCCTTGTCCCTCACATACAGAGATTTCTCGGACAACATTTTTTGATGACCCAGCCCAGTTGGCTAATTTCAGTATATACACTCATAGCCCTATAGGGCTATGAGTGTGGGGTTTGCCTCTTCTCCCCATGTTATTGTATGCTGTTCTCTGGTTTTCCACCAAGAACATGTTGAGTTTGATTGAAGCTATGGAATTGTGTTTAGGTGTGAATGACGTGAGCCCTGTGATTGGTTAGCACCCTCTCCTAGATTGTTCCCTGCCTGCACCCATAGTCTCTGGACACCCTGTGACCATGAATAGAAAACTGGGTACAAAAAATAGATAAATGAAACATATGAATACAATGGCAGGTCTTTTATAAAAAAATGTAAACCCCCAATGGTAAAAAATAAACACTATGTTATACATGCTTCTGATTTTGGTATGGATCATCCCTCATACTTACAGTATTACCAAGGACATCCTCTTCTAATGAAAATGTATGCTTTAGCTGGACAGAAGCAGTGCAGAGTGCAGTGCCACTGTATACTGAACCAGTCTCAACAGTACTGTTAATGTCCCTCTTTCCTTCTGAAGTCATTTGGTTAAGTGGCAATGGGCTGCAATATACACAGGGGGCTTTATACCGTAGCCCCCATCAGCATAAATATGTTTTATCAGCTAATTTTGGAAAGTAACATTATCACTGGCAATACCCACTGTGTAACTTTACCTCGACAAAATTCAACTGTGGAACCTTGGCTGTGCCGTTAAGATTGTTCATCAAACCTAGCAATTCTTTGAATGTCACTGACAGAATTTAAAGAGCAGTGACATAAAATCCAGCTGTATAGCGCATAAGAAATGTGAATATCCTGAACACACAATATTTCAAACAGATGTTGCTTATTCCCAGTATCATTGTAGTTACTTTGTGTAACTACGTTTTCGAGCATGAGCCAAGATTGGTTAATTTCAAAGTGTACTGAAGTGTAATAAAACGTATAATGTTGACTATATTCTTCAACTTAGGAGCTTACTATGGTTACTTTTTCAATGTCATGATTTTAATGACTGAATGAACTGTTAAACATCCATTGCTCATCTAGATCATAGTTAAAGTGGAATATTTAAAGATGACTTTAAGATCTTTATGTTTGACAGTCGTTAGCCTTCCATAATGCTTCTTTCCCTCTATAGAAATGACCTCAGCTGTGCACATTGAGCTATTTCAGTTCCCCCGATGTACAGAAAAAAGACAATCTGAAGGTCAGACAGACTGGGGCACTAAAGCTTCATATGCATTTATATCCAGTATATTTTTGCTCATTGTAATATAAAATATCTAGTATTTTATAGAGCAAATATATGTAACAAATATTTCTATTAAAATTTCACATCAGTATGTTAAGACTCAGAAGTTATAGCAATAAAAATGAAATATAAATTGTCAGAGCTTTGTTACAAGGGTGTTCCAAACGCACCTGCAGAAAGCCACCAAAGCTCTTTATGAACCTCCACATGATGAATACAAACTTGCAGTCCCAGGTCACAAACATGCCGTCATTTCACTCAATAGAGCCCATCAGCAAAGCGCCACTTAAGAATTTCAGCTACTACTGAAATTAGCCAACTGGGCTGGTTAATCAAAAAATGTTGTCCGACATGCAGGGGATGCGTGTTTTATTTTTATTCTACATTACTCCCTACAGGTGTATCTGCAAGCTTAATTTCTTCAATTGTCCAAATTGGCTAGACAACATTGATTTTACATTTATCATTTACTGAGTTGGTAGACTTCAAAACTTCAATTAGTAAAACTGGCCATGTTATATTATGTAACAAAGCACCAGTGTTAATTGTGTGCTTTTAGTTACATGTGCCCTGACCCCTATTGCTTAATACAAGACAGAGCACAGCTAAAATGATACAAGCTAACTAGCTTAGTGTTAGTTTAACAATATTGTGGGAGTTCCATGTATGTTTAGGGGAGTAGGGGGTTTAGTCCTGATTAGTTGCTACCAAACTCACACCTTACATATTGGCTGACATACTTCCATTGATTACCAGGTGTCCCACTCCCATGAGTAATGTTATGTTGCATATTTATCACATCTTATTAATAACATAACAAGCAAAGCATGCAATTAACACCTGCATTAATAGAAAAACATTTTTTGGCTTTTATGAACCAATAAATATCTAATAAGTGTGCTTTTAATTACAGCTAATCTTACCAAGTACAGTGATTGTAAAAATAGCTAATAAGAGTTATGAGTACAAAGTCAGGTGACCATAGAATAAAGAGAATTTGTATCATTATTTGTGTATGTAAAACATTAAGCTAGCTAATAAATAGAACTCACTTGCCCATGGTTTTATTTCAGTTGTTTTTCTAACAACTCTCTCTCTGTTCTGCCTTAGTAATAAGAATGTGCAAAGGCACCACATTACAAATTTCAGGTGTGATGTGGAGATTTCAGCTGTTACTTTGGAATGCATTACTAGATGTGTCCCATAGAACCTCTTCAAAAATACTGGAAACATGAGAATTAAGAATACTCCCATTTGATAAAGTTTTATCTGCAGGTGACATTTTAAGAATCAAGTATTCAAGATTATTCAAGAGATCTCTTAAAAGCCCATTGTAATTTCAATTTTTAAGTTAGTTTTCAATTTTTCGTCATGCAATAGTGAACTATTTTTGCACAATAATTTCATTTTCCAAGGAATGTACTTACTGGGATACCAAATATTTTCTTTACTGTGCATTCATTTAACTGAAAACCTGATTTTGATTTAAAGGCACATTTTTGGCATTGTGCTATCTGTGCATCTGCGTTCATGCAAAAGCCATCTGGTGTTGGCACCTTTGTCTGCTCCTTGAAACACCCCCTAAATGTCATTGGCCTTTGCCTAGCAACAACATTTAAATCAACTTAAATATGATATGAGCAAATCATGATTGTTGGTCCTGGCTCCACCCTTGACATTGACTGCTATCGCAGTGTAAAAAAGATGCTTTATTTATATGTGTGTGTGTGTGTGTCTGTGTGAAACCATCTGAGGCCACAAAAATAAACTAAATTGAAGTGAGCTGAATTATTCAGAAGAAAATTGGCCACTCTAGCACGTATCAACACTGAAATATAACAAAACCAAAAACCTAGTATTAAACAAATCAATTTTCTGATGCAAAAACATTCGAAAAAGGTTTATTGTTTCACATTCTGCTATAATACATTAAAAAGGTAATGGGTATTATTTTTTGGAGAAAAAAAACAATGCCACATTGGCATTTTGATTTAATAAAAGGCCATAATAAATTAAAATCTCTGTGGTCTCCGACTTGACCACATGTGTCGGATTAGCGATTCGAGCATAGTATGAGTGAATGAGGTAACTGTTTCTAAAATTGGTTCCTTTTATTGGTTTATCGGTGTAGTTTGTCGAGCTGCACCATTTTTGTAGGTTTTACAGAGGTGCATTAATATATTTTTTCCCTCAATTTTTTAAATAACAAGAACAGGGGAAAATGTCCTGCTTATATTATACAAAAATCAATCAATTTCATTCAAACACATCCCCATCCAGTGTACACTAATCCGTGTAGCATCATTATCAAACGACCCCCTCCCCCCCGCTTATTCCCTCACATGGGTACTTCCAGCTCGTGGCCACGATACTGCCTTTTTGCTCTGGCTGCCTTTCTTTTTGCATCCACAGTCACGTTGCATCGTGAGGATTGGTTCAGGTTCAGGGTGGAGCAATGGAGCAATAGGAAGAAATCCAGCAAGAATCTAACGTGGTCTCCCTACAAACTGATGGCTCCCATATTGGTGATGCTAACCCACAGCATCTTCTTCCGAGCTAGTGTGCAGTGGGTGACACAGAACGCGCAAGCTTTTCTCCTTGCTCCCGCCGTAACCTTTGGAGGGATCCTTTCCTTTTTCATTCCGTGTTAGTCACTTACCTTCAGAAGGATCTTGCTAGCATTTCATAATGGCTCATGCAGCTTCCCAGCTAAAGAAGAATAGGGATATAGATATCAATGCTGCTGAGGATGAGAAGGAGAAGAAGAGGAAAAGCAGGAAACAATCGCGGGATCAAAAGAAAAAGGTATACAGGTTCCTCTTTTTTTCCCCCACGCTGACACCTGCATGCACGCGCTGTGGGTCTTTCTAAGGACACATTATCAGAGCTGTTAAACTCCTCTCACGTCCATTAGCAATTGTCGTTGTTTTATACCAACTTTTCACCAATTCCATGTGTAATACAGGAATTACCTGCTTAACCGTGAGCAATGTGAGCTCCAGAAATGGTGCATCAGCACAGCTAGGCTTTACTGTTCACATCAACGATCATTCCATGCTCTTATTTATATTTAAAGCATGTGCTTCACAAACAAGGCATTTGGCAGGGACACTGATTTTATTGTGCAATAATGCGTGTGCGTTTGGAAAGCAATGTACAGTATATGCAATATGCATGCTGTACTGGTTAAGATGCTAGTATCTACATAGCGCTTTTCTTTTTTGTATATGGCAATAAATCTTTGAATTATTACTCTATATATCTGAAGACCAATGTCAAGTATATTTTATCTTCAATATAAGATAGTGGTTTACCTTTAGTAATACACAAGGTTAAGACTCTGCCTGTGTCCTTGCTTTGACCACAGAACATAGGCAGTGCCTTGTTGATTTAGATGTAATTATTTTGCAGAAATACACTACTCACTGACATTCAGAATAAGATGCAGACCTAGTATTTTATTGTGTAAGTGATTGTGTTCCATTATTAATTTTAATCTTTATAATGGCTGTTCTTTTATGAGAAATTGTTAAATACTTTCATAGTTCACATGCTAGGTTTTGTGCATTTAATTAGATTTGAAAATGTGCAGTTTACATGGATGTTTTTGCCCCTGTGCTTATGCTAAGTTGGTGTTCAGATTTACCCAGTAACCTGAGTGCATCTGAATTGTGAATTGAACGTTACTTTCGCTAAAAAAAAAAAATTAAAGGCCACCTTTACCGGTTACCTTCGTACCTGATGAGTTTGGCTGTTCTTGCTTTTTTTTTTTGTTTGTTTTACTCTTATAGTACTCATTTGCAAACCTGAATTGTGTCGTATTAGGTATCCTAAGCTAAATGGTGTCTGGAGTCCTCCACTCGGCTCACCTCCGTAGCGAAGGGTTTGGAATGTCGTTTGACAGCTGCGACGGAATGTGTCTTGGCACACACTCAATAATGAGCAGTAAACAGTGAAGCCCAAAGGCAGCAAAAATAGGGCAAAATCAGATTTCTGTTTACTGATCTGGAACGATTTCTAACAAGAATAAACAAATACACTCTTAGAATTTTTAAATAACTATTATGGAACCCCAATTTTGTATAGCAATATAGGAATTATATTAATTTACCATTCATGCATGTTTTTGGTGGGTTTATTCCTCCACTGGAATGAACTGGCTTCCCATTAAGTGTTCTCATACCTCGACTTATACTATGTGCTTCTTGGGATAGGGTCTAGGCTCATGGCACATGTCTGCTCATTGATAAGCAGTTATGGAAGAGGGATCGATGTACTGCTTCCAAGAAAAAACACAATTAGACTGACAGCACTTTGATAGATGAAGAGTCTCTGAGTGTTTATATATACATACACACACATTGGTTTAGCCGAGTGAAAACAGAATGGCTGCAAAGCCATGACATGTCATATGCTGGGTGACATTAGTTCAACTTCCTTCCAAATTAGTACAAAAATACAATTGGAATAGTGGCTGTGCAGGCAGCCCTGCTCCCAGCCATGCACGCCTGAAATATATATACTGTATAACACTGCATAGATTTTTGTATTCTCCCTAAGTTTTGGTAATTTAATAATACAGACGCTCCTCTACTTACGAATGAGATACGTTCCGAATGGCCATTCGTAACTTGAAATGTTCGTAAGTCGTTATTCAACATCATTTTAAGGGTATAGGCTAGGACTAATTAGAACCAGGATGCTGGGAGTTTGCACGCTACGCTGCTGTGCGGCGGGAGTAGCGGCCAGAAGTCATACTAGGCGGGATTGGCGCACAGAAAAAAAAATTGATGTTGCGGACAGGAAACGGGAGCCCAATGAACACAATTTGGACGTCATAAGTAGAGGAGCGTCTGTATTCAGACTTTCTTCCCGCAGTCCACAGAGGAACTTCATTCCATTAGGGCCCTGCATAAGGTTGTAGTACAGGTTGCAGTAACCATACATGGTTAATTACTGAAAACGGATGGAAAAATATATATGTATTTAATTTCTCCATTGTGTTTTAATTCATTTGAAGTGTTTCTTTTAAAACACGTCTCTTTGCTCTATGGACTCATTCCCACTACAACGTTATAACATATGACATTGAATGATCTGGGTCAGGCTAAAAGCAGATCATTTTGACCATAAGTGAGAGTACATTGATCAAACGTTCGACTCTACATCTAATGAATATTGCTGGCATATACAAGTTCCAATTTTGTGTATATCTGTTGCTGTTACTCTGCATTCTGCTGGCATTGTGTATTCTGGATGATGAATAGAGAGAGTGTGCTGAATTATTGCTCTTTTAAGTCCTATGATTGCACCGTAACAAAGTTCACTATGCTGTTTGTAATAATTAATGGATCTTGTAGCGTATGCTGGAATGCAGTGGCCTTTGTTCACTCTCTGTTTTTCTTGGTTGTAACATTTCGCTTGACATTCTTCCAATATGCCAACTTTACCCCAAATTACATTGGGAGGATTTTACCTGTGTGCCTTAAATTTCTAGCCTGAGGTGTTAGAAATTTGTAGAATAATTAGAGTATAGAGGAGAGAGAAGGTATATTTGCATACTTTATTATTCATATGAGTGTGTTTCCTGATTATATTGATTAATCTGTTGTTTAAGGACTGTGTACAAGCATGTTAATCAGCGCCTGGCACTTGGTAGGGTATGCCACATTCCTTAGAGGTCATCTGACAGTACTGGGCTTCTGGCTTTATAGCTGTTGTTCTTTTCGTGGCATACCGAGGTACATCATGATAGCTGGTTTCCCTGGAACTTTGCAGCTGTTTGGAGGAATCAGAAATCCAGCTGTTCCGTCTGAGACTGCATGTATTATTGCATGTTTGCATAATTATTATTAGTGCCCAGAAGAGCACATTGTGCAGAAATGCCTTCCGTGTTCCTTGCCTTCTCTCAATTTTCTTTGTGGACACAATAAAATTCGTGAAATCTTAATTTTACTCTTTTCCTATGATTGCTAACTATCTAGGTTTTCCTACATCGCACTTCTAATCAAATCTTATACCGTGAATCATTTCTCATTTTAATTTATTCAGGTTTTCTCAAATGATCTTAAAAAAAACTTCATTTTTCATTCATACAGTTTTATTGTGTGTATTATATATAATGTATTCCTGATTAAAACTGAAGCATAGAGCTATAAGCAAATGGTTTGCTGTTTTATTAAGTAGTGGAATATTAGAACAATGTGGTCCTGTTCCCCAGCAATATGAGAACATAATGATATTGAACATGAACATAACAAGTAAACACATTTTGAGGTATCACATTATTAACTCGTGCTTTATTTGTAATCTTTGTCCATCAGGAAATTTTGTTTTAGTAAATGTACACACACATTTAATAAACCATAAATATTGTGTATGTGTATGTATATGTGTATATATATATATGTGTATATATATATATATATATATATATATATATATATATATATATATATTTGCGAAGTAATACATTCACATGTAACGATATGCCAGAAAAATGTATATAAAAATTCCAGACCTAGACCTACACAGCACCAGCATCTTTTTTATAATCAAATTTACAAAAAAATAATGAATGTTTCCCTTAATCTAGAGGCCATTCATGTTTAATGACTGCTTATGTGCTGCTAAATCACAGCAAACCTGGATTCTGTCCTAGAAAACATAAAGGCATAAAGTAGGCACCCACTCGCTCCACATTTTAAAATAAATGTGTTTCACTTAAAGAGAACCAATGTTGCAGTCATCCCTCCTTTCATAAAGATGTGTCCTTGTTTTATAACAATTAATTTAATCTTAGGAAAATGACTGAGTGGCAGTTTATTACACGTGGAATGAATTGTGCAAACGTCAAGTATACACAGTAATGAACATAAATACTCAACGCTCTACAAATAGGCAGAAAGTAGAGTATGTAACATAATACGTGAAAAAGAATCAGTCAGACAAACAACCAAGGAATGGTGAAACCTCAACGTCAGTCAGTACACAATGCATGTAACAATGACCCTTGGTGTAGGGGTGCTCTCAAAATGGGATGATCGCCTACCTCCCCCCCACGAACCTGAACACAGCACGTGGTTCTGGATCAAGTTGGAGAAAACAGTCCTCTCCACTAAGATGTCTGGAGACACAGCGTGAAACATCAGTTGATTCTTGCCTGTTTGCTGGGGGCAATGGACCCGATGATGGTGGATGATAAGGCAGGGTTCCTGACAAAGCTGAGACAGCACCTGTCAATCTGATGCTGGGGCTGTTTCTGATCACAGGCTGCAGAACTATACAGGAGTTTATAGGCGGCCGATTCCAAAGACCTCTATACACTTTCAGTCAGGTATGGTGAACAACTTACTTCTAAGTCATTCTTTAGATCTGCAGTTTCATTCATCAGCCCATGTGCTCCATCTTTATCCATCCTCTTAAATGGGCTCTTCCATCTTGGCACCAAATTCATCTGTTAAGCAGGATCATCAAGAAGAACCAGATCTCCCACCTTATGAAACGCATACACTTTCTCGTCTTCATACTATTTCTGGTAATGATACTATTTCTGGAAAATGAACAAAGTCTTTGTTAATTTTCTTTAGTGTCATAGTAGTCACATTGAATGACATAGCATAGTGTTGGGTTGCTCCAGCAAAAGTATAAAGGAGGTAAGGTCATTAGCATATGCTATTATGGTACATGGGATGGCAGGGGTCTTAATGGACCGGAATTCATCAGAATGTCCACAGACATGTACAATGACATGCACAATGAAGTAAGGGCTGAACACTCTGCTAGAATGGACACTGGAGTTGCAT